ATACCACAGTAGAAAAAGACCTGGGTTTTAACGGTGACGGAGAAACTGGACGCCAGTTCCAATTACCCAGGTGATGCCTCAAAAGCATATGGTGTACTACACTTTGTGCGTAGACAGCCAGGTGCCTTCACCCCAGGGCTCTTTCTGAAGTTCTACGAAACTTACATACGGCCCCATCCAGAGGTACATAACGTCGTTGCTCCGCCACAGCTGAAAAGAGGCACGAACCTACCAGAGAAAGTTCAGAGGCGAGCCACAAAAGTTGTTGGAATGCGAAGAAAACCATATGAGGACAGACCGAAAGACCTAAGCCTATACTCTCTGAGCCACCGAAGGTTACGAGGTGACCTAATAATGGCTTACAAAATACTGAGTAACCACAGTCACCCGAACAGAGGAGTTCTACGGAGTGGCCACTAAGGGGATCCTCGAGGAAGCCTTAAGAGAGTAGCCCATCAAAGGTCAAACCGCATGTGCGTTCACAGTTCTTCTCCCTTGGGGCCTGTGGGTACTGGAACGCACTACCAACAGAGGTGGTCTCCGCCCCAACTGTTGAAAGATTCATGAAGAAGCTAGACAGTCATGCAGAGACTCACGGTCTACCCGCATATAGTTGGAACACGAAGTGATGTCTAGCCACCTCAACCAGTATTATCTCGATTGTAACCATTCAAGCCCTTTTCACCCCTTCCGCTTGCCACGAGTAAGCCTCACTCACCTAAGTTCTTCAGACCTTTGAACCTCTACTAACTTTACTTGGGCGTAAGTAGATTACCCCATTAGTTCACTTTTCTTCACCTCTTTTACCTACACAAACACTTTCTGGGTTTTCTCTTCACCATCCTTAACCCGCTCTAGCGACCAGTCTGAACAATGGTCCGGCAACTCGACATACGAAGAAGCCAGCTGCACCACAGTCCAAGGCAAACAAACCAACACCTCCTGTTCTGTAAATCAGAGCTACAGCAGACAAGTGGCTGAATCTACTGCATAGGAATCCGCTAGAGATCTGGGGCAGTTCCACAAGACCAAGAAGTGAGCAAGAAGAAATCAACTGGTTTACACAAGCTCGTTAAAAAAATATTGGATATTGTTGTTTGCTGTAGAGCGTCTTGTACGAATTCAAGGTCACTCCTGCTTGCGAAATCTTTTAATTTACAGTTGTCCTTTCGTTGTGTAATTCAGTCTTTTGTCGGTTTTCCTTTCCAACTTCCTACACGCATTCCTTGTACTTTTGATGAAACCAAAATTTAGTGATAGGGAACCCTGAAACCAACTATTCAGGCTGGAGATTATTTGTTCAAGCTAGCTTGAATGAAGAGCTCTTCATTACGTCCTCCTAGCATGATTTTGACACTGAATAAACTTTTAGACAACTGTGTCACAATTTACATTGGATGCTGTACGTTAAATTTGGTGCAGTTGGTGATGTGTTTGAAAGAAGTTAAGGGATTTGTTTCAAAACTTTAATTTAACCTAGAAAGATGACTTAAACAGAACCGGTTAGGTTATAACTTCACTAATGTATGTATAAACCCTTATCCCCTGGAAAACCGTAGATTCTTCGTGTATACAACCGAAATATGAAGGAAGAACATTTTCTGTGTATAAAGTATGTCAGAAAAATTTGTCCTAACATTTGTGCGAAATTGTGTTTTATTGGGTACCCCAAAAATACACAGATGCTTAGAAATCATGTATGCCTCTATCTGAAATGGTTTACGTACATTAATAGGTTTTTCACGAAAGCACTTCATTGATCGGACAACTGAAGTGCATACAAGCAGCTGTAAAAATATGTGGAGTCACTTTAGAAAGTTCTTGAGACCTGTAACAGCATCAAAAATAGAAATTTCCCAAATATTAGTCAGATGACGTTTTATGGGTTCAATTATATTGCAGACTGTGGTTCGCTTTCAGAGATGCTAAACCTATTGTAAATCTAGATATCCTTATTTCTCAAGTAAAATAGTTTTATAAATAGTAAATACAGTACCGTTTCCATGAGTAATTATGTCATCCCTTATATTCTTGGTTCAGGTTATTCAGTACATTCTTAAACGTGGTCGGCCATGTTTTAATTAGGTTCTGCTGTATTTTCTAGTTTTTTCGCTCTTGTGTCGTATAATTTCGATAGCTGTCAGTTGAGCTGTAGCTGTTAAAAATAGTTGGTGAAGTTGCTTTTAGTGATTTCCTGTTAATTTATGAATGTGTCTACCACAGAAGCAGCTATCACCAGCTCTGTTGGTTCCAGTGGTAACCACCCTGTATGTTCAAAGGACCGTGGTTTTTAGGCCTTCTAGGGACGATCACCTAAATAATCCTCCGCAGAAGTACAAAGATCATGTGGGTTGACAACCAATCTGTTATTAAGGATACAATCCTTTGATATAAAATCATCCGTTTTATTACTATATGGTGAGGCTAAAAGACTGGAACTTCCTCACTGCCTTTTATAAAAAAGGTGTGGAAGTGTTGTCCCTAGCTTGCTACCCACTCTTTATACCTGTTATAGTGTGTGTAACTTGAGCACAATATTTTAGCTAAGTACCTAGATGAGCACCACTATTTTCTGCAGAACTCACTAAATAAAAACACATTTTAAAGTTTCAGCTTCCGTCAGTAACCAGCCCGTTTGGCTGACTGATGTAACTCCCCAAATAAGTGAAGTGGTTGACACATTCCATCACACCACTCCCTATCACTAAACTGGTTGTTATTACAGACTAGTCCTGGAAATCGTCTTACATTTGACAGGTGCGAAACGTATGCTAAATATACTCAGATTTCCTCTCAAGGCGTTCAGAAGTCTCGGAATCTTGTCAACATCCTCACGAAGCATGAAAATATCGTATGCAAACTCCGAGCCGACCAGTTAGCCTCAAACGAGTAGATCGATCCCTGTGAAGTCGAATTTACTTAAGGTTATGTCCATTGGAACGTGAGTTCAAGTAGAGAGCTTGGATAAGCACTGCCCTCACAGTCGGACGCTTCCACAACACCTCATAGTTGAAAGAGTCGAATGCCGCGATGAGATCAGGAAGTATGGGAAATTGTCGACCGTTTGCTTACAAGCGTGCCTGTGTCCCAGAACCTGTCGGTAGTTGAAAATCTGATCGTTGCATCCTCGTTCAGGTCTGAAAGCTGCCTGGTTTCTCGAGTTTAGTGTTCTTGATCTCCAGTTAGCCGTCCGATAACTATGGACCCTAGGATGTCGGACACAATATTAGTCAAACTAATTCCTCTGTGTTTGTTGCGCGAAGAGTTCTCTCCTTCCTCATAGACCGGAACGATCAGAGGAGTAGACCAGTGTGACGGGACTACCTTTGATTTCCATACACTACCTCGTACGTTCGTCACTTTAATTTGCTACTTCCCACCTCCATCCTTGAGAACGTCGGGTGGCAAACTGTCAGGCGCTGGTGCTTTGCATCTTTTCAGGTTTGAAGCAGTTGTCTCAATTCCCAGGAGGGTTGGTGGACCAACATCTATGTTCGACTCAGGTTCGTATTGGATGTTTGGCAACTGAAGTGTTACTGGTGACCAGTTGATTAACGCTTCAGAGTGTTCTGCCCAACGTTCTAGTCGTCTGTCCTGGGGGGTTATCAGCGTCCCGTTATTTTTGTGGTGATGGTTTCACTCACCATCGTTTTCTTCTTCCCGGTATCTTCAGTAAGCTTAAATAGTAGCGGGACTTCACCCAACGCTAATACCCTCATTTCTCTCGCTCTCATCACCTGAGACTGCTGGTGATCAACGTGAAGACTCATGGTCAATTCACGTTTAAGTTGCTTTTGCTTTTCACTGTGGTCTGAGCCAACCACCTGGAATCAGTCTTCTCACACCAATGAATTGGAATAACGTTGTGGAAATCTAATTAGGTTTGGTAACCTCCGTGGGTAGGTTACCAGCTGTGTTTACTGCTGATTTTACAGTGGATTTAATATGACGCTAGGTTTCGTCAGGATGAGTATTATTGTCATACTTAAATGAATGGTTCGCTAACTCCTCCTTAAACACGTACTTGGCGTTCTCATCTTCGTAATCGACCATAGACAGGCTGTATAATGGCCTTTTTCGTGCGACTAGTAAGGCGCAGATATAGTCGAGCTTGTACTAGAGCATGATCGAAGTCCGAACTGGTGCTCCAGAGAGAGTGGTAGTCTTCCAACTATGGCTAATAGCAATGTGATCTATCTGTGTTCATCGTTGGTTTTGTGTTGGTGGACGCCATACGAGACAGTATCTGTCCTTATGCGTAGAGTTAGTACTGGGCAGGAACAAGTGATTGTGGGAACAAAATTGCAAGGAACGATCACTGTTGTTGGTTCATTGGCATGGAATACGGTAAGTAACCCCAGTATACCTTTGTGATTGGCTCAACTTCCCTACTTGAGGGTTGAAGCTGCCTGTTGCTATGACTATATCTGTACGTTATGCTTTGTGCAGTGAAGTTGACAGTTTTTCACAGAATTTGCATCATTGCATCATTGGGACTGCAGTCTTTAGGTGTATAGTCGGAGATTGCGAACAGACATGGGTTGGTCTCATGATCCTTTCTGCTTCTCATAGATGCATTTATTGGAAGAGCACATGGACAAGTGTTGACTGGTATCCGGTGGAGAAGCTCATTTTCTGTCTTACATCTCAATGGTATGCCTACACCAGCTAGTCCATAAGAGCTAGCCATATGGCTCATATTTTTTGTCTAACTGCTACTACGCGACGCCTGCCGCAGCCTGGGTAAAACGTAACTATTACATAAGTTAGCATCCTTAAAAGTACGTGTTACAGCTTTTTGTTTTCTGAGAAAGCATCAGAAACTCGCTATTTTTTTATTGTCCTTCCACTTAGTTCACTGGGTTTTCTATACTAGGCTTGTTTGCCTGAATATCTCTGCCTTACTTGAACCTGCTAATTACTCTGAATATTATGCTTTCAAACTGTTAACATTTGATGGTTTCTTCACTCCGTAGAGTCTGCATTACTGTGATACAGAAATGGATGAATTCGAGGAGTACAAGTACGTTATACGTTTGTATTTATTTGATCAAGGAACCCGCTTACAAAACGGTATGGAAGTCGTGAAATGGTACGTAACTTCGGAGAAAGACGAAAAGTAGTACTTTGGCGTCAACTATGGATATGGCTAGCCGAAGCACAGAAAGAACTAGGATTTGATATCACAGGTAGTAGTTTCAAATTGTTTAACTTATATTCGAATGAATTAGTCCTTTAACATGTGTTATTGTTGGAAGTATTGGTCTTCGCTCTGCATATTAGTAGTAATCTCTCATGTGTTCATTTTATTATGCATTTTCTCTGCAACTGGTATTCCGTCTTTTTTGAGACTTAAGCTCATCAGTAGACACCTTATGATACATGGATCTGTGGTTCAGTGGTTTAGGGAGTTGGTCATCAACCAGTGGGTCACGGGTTCCAACTCTCCTCTACCTATCTGGGTTTGAGCAGCCAGGTGGTATCACTGGCCGTTACACTAAGGTCTGGATGTGCACAGGGTGGTTGAACGCGTTTCGTTTCTTGCCTTGTCATGCTCTTCTTTCCATTCCAACCGACCCGAAATCCTTTTGAGGTTATTACAGAGCAATCACTCTGACAGTATCTGAAATCCTACGTTGTGTTATCATTGGACACCTAACTAAAGCTCAAGAAGACCGAACCAGAGAAAATTAGGCAAGTCTCACACTTGGTCATGCGTGCATCAGCTAGATATTCACTCTTCATCTGCTTCTAGAACAAAAGCTGTATCTCTTGATCTGAGAGCTGTGTTTGAAATATCCCGTCGCCTTTTATTGACCGAGTGTACTAAACTGCAGTCCGGTTTCTTCTATTGTGCTGCTGTGAGTAATGGCTGTTAAAGGTGGAGGACATAAAAAGCGTTGTGTTAGACTAATACCGCCTTCGTGTCACGCTGGTAACATGGAAGTCAAACGCTGATTTGTGTGCAAAATGAGTAAGTCATGTTATGTTATTGTAATCCCTCACTGACTCAGGTGACTGGTACATTTGTTATTAACGTAGTCACCGCTTGCCTCGACGTGGAATCTTAACGGAAGTTTTTTTATGCCAGAGAAAGGTTAATGATGGTGAGATCGAAATCTGTCGTTAGTCTATGAAGTCTCTGACTTTTTCTGAATCGTTTAGAGAAATGTAGATTTCCCTGTTGGGATCCACGCTACAAGCAAAATCAATGGTTGAGTACTCTGAGTGATATTGCTAAGAAATGATCTCATCAGTGCAGATGTATCCACACAATACTCTCAATCTTATTGTAACACCACACTTTTTACCCTCCGTTTTCCTTGTCTTATGACTTCATACAACTTTTTATGATATTTTCCCCTCGTTTTCCCTATCTTCTATCTTACCGTCTTGTGTCTTGATGTTCTAATAGGAAGGTGTGGCAACTTACGGAGTTGCACAATAATGCCGTAAACCGTGTCCATACAAACTAACTGTAATTTAGTTCAGTTCCGGTCAATAACATAGAGCTATTCGAAAAATTGGTCGGATATTTGGTGTATATGTGTTTCTGCTTTCCTTCGGTTCATTGTTCTGTAAGGAAAGCTTTTCTTGTTATTATTTCAACCCTTTCTTATAGCCATATATGTTATGAATTTGCGATTTTCCTTAAGTATCTTTGTTTAACATATCTTTGGTAACTATTAGAACGTAGCGTGTAGAGAATCGGCTGGTGATTCGACATTACCGTAAAATCCCGTCTCAGCTATAACAGATATGATAAGCTGGTGTACTGATACGACAAGTAATTATCTCTTCATCAGTGAATTGTTAACTTACTCGATATAAGTCGTCAGGAGAGCCACACTATTGTTTTGTTCAGGCATGAAGCTGTGGGTCATTAGTCTAGATACTTGACTGTCAATCAATGGGCCGTGGATGCGAACCTTCTGAGGTATGGAAAGCGAGTTAGTATCATTAACCCTCAGAATAGGCATAGATCGTTAGTTATCGAAAAAACCTACACATAGCTTGATATCAATGACAGGCCGTGGCTAGCAGTGGAATCCAGCAAAATATATGTAGCTCAGGTGGATGGTCTTGGTTGTATTGTGTTCTCTGAGCTCAGAAAACACAATAAAACCAAGAGTGGAATCCAGGATGCACGTTTCGTCATATTCGGGACTCACCAGCCAGATGTACCTGCCTCTCAGTGATGTTGTTCCTGCTGGGTCTCGAACTCGGGGCCGATAGCTTCAGATGTCAAAGCGTTATCCACTAGCTCACTGAGTCACGATAGCCGCTTCTTGTGCCATTAAGTAACATCACATAAACCTGCACATGGCTATTGTGTAATATTTATCTTTGTTCATAATATGTTCAGCATCACACCTCTTCAGGCTGCCAGAATGGTAAATGTCGACCAACAGTAACCTTTAAATCTATGTATGTTGCAGGGTTATAGTCACACTAGGGATTTATAAAACCTGATAATAACCAAGCCGTACTTATCCAACTCAGTTGACTTTCACTTTGAATTTGTGGCATTATCATTCCACCAAGTAACTTATTTCATATTTCCACATCTTATGTCATGGAATTGTCTTTTTTTCATTTTTGATCTTATGACACTAATACAGACGAACAGATTGATGAGATGAAAAATCAGAGAGATTTTATTGACTTTAAAACTGCTGCAGCTGAGGAGAAGGCCAGACGTCACGATGTGATGGCACATGTATACACGTTTGCAATGGCATGTCCAAAAGCCTCATCAATCATTCATCTCGGTAAGTTTTCCTATGCAACACAAATCGAAATTACAAATCATTAATTGCATTGGTTGTGATTTATTTATAAAGAAGTTCTATAATTTATTTTGTGATGTTTATTTGGGGATAAAATCAAACGAAGAAATTTAGTCTAGTAAACTTATGAAGTTGTTTATATCTAGATATAGGTCACATTTGTTAAACGAAACTGATTTGATTGTCCCTTGAACTATAATTAAAATTAGCTATTGGAGCTTTCATTGTCCACGTTCTATGTCAAGCCTTTTTAAACACTGTGGTACCGTGGGCTATGGATGTATGTGAAGAACTCACACATAGTCGTTCCCTTAACTGCATTTTAGGTGTTTTAAGTCTATGTGATTCAGTCATTCACTCAAACATCATCAAGATGACGCCTGGCATGACCACGCAGCGGTTCCAGTTGCCTTACTTCTCATCACAAAATCAAGGTAAAAGCCATTGAGATGGAAAAAAAGGAATGAAGAAGGAATTAGTCGAAGATGATGAAATGTCTTGAAAAGAGAACAAAGAGAAACGAGGTTAGTGAAAATCGGCATCGTGATGGAGATGAAGATAACGTGTTGAGATGCATCTGCGCCACTGAGATCGATCTTGAGTCATAACATCTAGAATCTCTAACCAGTGACTTCAACTGTTAGGCGAACTCCGACCCGGAAATCTACACTTTTCTACTCTGCTCAGATCAACATTCATACGCTTCATGAAGTGATGCCATTGTTTTAATCTGAGTACCTTTAACTTCTTGCAGTATAACTCTACTTCAGCTAACATTTTGCGATGAGGCAGACGATGGTTAGGTATATGCAACACAAGTTTCAGCCATTTGAGTTGATGGACGTTCGAAACCTCATCAACTTTGCGACTGTCTGACTTCTGCGTTACTAATGTGATCCCACAACGACACTGATGAAACGGTAGTTGAACACTTTGAGTAGGCATGTTTCACGGCCACACAATGGAAGAAGGCGAGCTGTAGTTCAGTACACTTGGTCATTAATAGGCGACGGGATATTTCGATGAAGGAACTGGGAGGCCTATCGAGCCTTTTGTATTGGTGTCGATATTTCATGATTTACTGACCCACCAGAGCTGATCCAACTTTGCAAGTACGTGAAACGGTCAGTGGCCTCAACCACTTCACCTTCCATTATTAGAAAAGGCATCAGCATAAACCAGTCTTATATGAACAGTTTGCACTTGAGAAGTGAGAAACGCATTATGAACATTCTCGAATTGTCACTCAAGGTGTCGAGGAAACTCTGGATTTTGACTGCGTCTTAACCTAACAGGACTATCCCATCCGTGTACTCTAGGTCTGCTAAAATGTCTTCAGTGACAATGTCGATCCTCATATGGTCAGGCGAGGTTATGGGGATTTCCTCGCACACGTCTGTGACAAAATCAAATAAGAGTGTGGAGAGTGGAAGTCGTTGACAGGCAACACTTGACACACACAACCTGCCTCACTATAAGCTTCAACACTCCTACGGGTGTTCAAGTAGAGAGCCTTGTACCGAGTGATGTAGCCACGCAGCAGCCTTTTAAGTGACACACTTCCATAAGACACTTTAGTCAACAGAGTCAAACGCCACTTTCAGGTGGAGTTATGGCTTGTGTTCTAGAAATAGATGGAGGGCGAATATTTGGCTGATGCATGCATGACCAGCTGTGAGACTTGTATAGTTTTCTCTAGTTCGCTCTTTTCAAGCGAAAGATTTGTGAACTTACATTTTTGTACACCATTCATCAGACTGCTTTATCTGTGGTTACCACGGAAGGATTTCTCTTAGTTTCAGGTTGCAGCCTTCTCAACTTCTGCAAGGGTTGATAATCCTGTCTCCGCTTCCTATCCAGCATTTGACTGTCCAAATACACGTTCGAAAACGATCGACTTTCCTTTCACCGAGCGTCCAACAGCAGCTGATAGCAGTATGCTCTGTGGCTACCATTGAGTTGAGGTTGGTGGGTGCCACGTCAGGCAGTTGCTCTTTTCACGTGTGAAACTCAGGTGGATCAAATTCAGTTAGTTTTGTGAGCGTAATGGTAGTAGGCGATTGTGGCCATCTGTTTGTTCAGTTAGGTTCCCCAAAGTGCATGTAAAGTTCGTTTCTGTCTGACTTAATCTAGCACCCACTTGTGCATTGAAATCACCATTAAAAAAAAACAACTATATATGGACTTCGGATGCTAAACATATCTTGTTAGAACCCGTCCTTCAACTCATCCAAAATACATTCATTGGTTGTTTAGAGAGGGATTAAAAAGAGAGGATTGTGACTTCCAGTACCCGTTTGAGTCGTCACTGCACTATTTGATGGGAAGTCAGATATCCAGCTGTTGACTAAAATCCACTCAAGCAGTACACCTTCTCTCTTACGATATAATGCTTCACCTACACTATCGCTACCGCGATAAGTAGCTGAGCGATCTCGCTAAACTCGAAGAGTGGGTTTCGCAGACTTACCATATTGACTGGGTGAGGTCAAGTGAATAACCGTACTTGTGTGAGTTATTCATGTTTGACAAACAAGACTTCTCTATGACGTGATATGTCTGAGAGTTCGGCTAATAAAGCTAGTTGTTGGCCCGTACCAAAATGCATGGGGGGTATTATGCTATTTTTATAGGTTATCTTTTCCAGCCTTTTTTTCTCACGGAGAAGGCAGTATTATAAATATCATACTGTTATCCGTCGACTGGAAAGACCTTAATGTTCTCTCACTGACTAGCCATCATTACTGCTTCACTGTCTGACTGTGATTGTAGCTACTTTTTGTGTGACCACTATCCAACAGACATTTCTGGTATGGTAAAACCTAAAGGCACGAATGTTCTCACCAGCATAACTCGTTGGGTCATTTTCATATACAAGCCCAACCATTGAGGTATATGTCGCAGGCTGCGATTCGCACCTAGTGAGTCTGCGCATTCAATAATCGCTCGTTTTTACTTTGAACGTGTCACTATTTTTCATTATCTAGTGGACAAGTTTTTAAAACGATTGATTTTCGGTTCACAGCTGTCTTTATGGTGCTCAACTGAACAGATGGGGTTGAACTGCGCCCAGAATTATATTGATTTGACTTGCTGCACTTCATAGCAACATGCAGAGGAAATGTGTACAGAAAGCGAGATATTGTGGAAGACAAACAAGTATGAGACAAGGCAAAAATGATATGTTGAAGCTGATATATCTATGCTGTTAGTGTCGATTTTCAGCAGTATCAACAAAACTCTACAGCCATTTATTCTTGTGCCCTCAAAAACTGAAGACAATAAGTTTTCACAGCTCATACCAGTAGTCAAAGACTTCATGGCTTGGTGCGATATCTTGGTCTGACCCCTCTGAGTTTTCTTTCAACACAAACCTCCGACTGACATTGAACATCGTGGTACACGGTACTCCAGCCTTCGGATGTGTTATCACCGCCATTCTACAGAAGACTTAATATTATGCCAAGCTTCATAAGCAAGACAGCTGCTTTTATGTTTAGGTGGGTGCGCTTAGCTCTCCTAGGTAAATGCCTACTTGATGTTCTCATCTTGGAGTCGAGCAAACATAGGATTCGCAGCTGTCTGTTTGCTACCGCCATTAAGGCGTGAAAATACGCGTATACCGTCACTAATGCATGATCGTGGTCCAAGCGGGTACTGGAGAAGGGGTGACAACCATTTAGCCATCCACTTCAACAGTAAGTCCTAGCTATATGTATGGCTGTATCAACCGTCGGTTGGATGTAGGCGGACGCCAGCTTTACCGTTTTAATCACCGATTCCTTACCAGTGTTGGTTAGAATTGAAGACATCTGCACTTCAGGGTTGCCTCTTGTATTCAACGACGGAAATAAATAGACCCTGTTGCTACCTTTGCTGTTGTGGGTCCATGAAAAATTCCTTTTTTTAAAACAAACTTGAATAGTGATCACATTAGTTCGAACACGTGTTTTAGCGTCTAAATAAACAAATAAAGACAAACCCGAGTACAACCCACTCATGAGGACGCTAGGGCTACTTTTAGAAAGGAACTAACTAAGCACTTGGCATGAAATAGCAACGTTACTAATTTTAATGAAGTCTTGCACCACCTCCAGTTTGTAAAAGTAGTGGTATTATTATTATTATTTTTCCCTTGAGTTCCTGGTGGAATGTAGGGCTTCAGTAGCACGCCTCCATTCCACTCTGTTCTCACAGTCTTCAAAACCGGCTCTACGACTGCCCAAAAGCTATCACTTCTTTCTCGCATGATCTCCTCCATGTCACCCTCGGACGCCCAGTTCATCGTCCCCCCTCTGGGTTTCACTCGAGAGCCTGGCACATGATGTCCCCAGTCGGCCTTCTCAGTGCATGCTCAATCCATCTCCACCTTCTGCATATTTGTTGGGAGATGGGTTCTTGGTTGGTTCGTTGCCAACCAGCCAGAGTTCCTTGTTGCTTATTCTTATTATTCTGGCCATCTGATCTTCAGTATCAAGTGAGCGTAGGCAGCCGTTGATGAATGTCTGTAGTTTGTTGCAAATGCTTTTCGTGACGCTCCAAGTTTCTGAACCATATAGAAGCACTGACTTGACATTGGTGTTGAGAATCCAGATGTTGTTCGCGCTTTATGCTGAGTGCAGTCGATCTCCACACTGATTTCAGATTAATGAAGGCCTGTCTTGCCTTTCTGGCCCTGGACTTGACGTCTTCATCTGTGCCGCCGCCACCGCCTGTAGTTGAAACGATGGTGCCTAGGTAGGTAGGTGAAAGAGACAACTTCCTTTGTATTTCTCCCGTTGACGGTGATTAGTGCTTGTTTTTGATGCTGTTATTGGTTGGGTATCTTCATGACCTCCGTCTTCTCTACGTTCACTTGAAGTCCCGTCTTCGCTGCCTCTTCTGTCAACTTGCTAGTTTTCGCCTGTAGATCTTCGAGTTTGTGCGATATGCTATTAAACATAAATCGTCGTCGGCAAAACCCAAATCTTCTAGGTTCTTTTCATCGTATGCCCATCTTCTCGCTCCTCACAGTTGTCTGTTGCATAGTCCTGTCCAGTTGACCGCAATCAGGAAGATCATGGGTGATAGTAGACAGCCTTGTCTTACTCCTGTCTTCACTTCGAAGGCATCACTGAGCTTCCCATTGTGAATTACTTGGCATGTGGCGTCTTCATATAGCTGTTGTTGAATGAGGTCGATAAAGGTTTGTGGTATTCCGTAGTGTTGAAGCAACTGCCAAATTACTTGTGGGTCGACGCTGTCAAAGGCCTTTTCAAAGTCGATGAAGTTGAGGTGACGTAGAGAGTTGACTGGCATTCTACGCTCTGTTCTATGATGATGCGTGTTGCTGCAATTTGATTCGCACATGATTTTTTCTTCCCGAAGCCAGCCACCCAGCCTGTTCCGGTCGTAATTCTGAATCAAGAGCATCCTTTAGTCTCTCGAGGATGATGTGGCTTAATATTTTGCTTGGGGTGGACAGGAGCATGATTCCGCGCCAGTTCTTGCAAAGACTTAGGTCGCACTTCATTGGGAGTTTGACAAGGTAGTTTTTCCTCCAACCAGTGGGCAGGTACCTTCCCTTCCTTCCAGACCTTCTGCAATAGTGGTGTGAGCATGTCCGCTATTGTTTCTGCGTCTATTTTCAGTGTTTCTGGCGGGATTCCATCTGGTCCTGCTGCTTTCCCACAATTTCAGTATCTTTATGATGCCCAGGACTTCGACTTTTGTTGAAGGATTTGTGTTCACTAGTAGTTCTGCCGTTGCAGGTGGTATTTCTGGATGAAGTGCGGATTATGGTGGTCGATTCAAGAGTTTTTAGTCAGTGGTCAGCCCATCGTTTCCCTTGTTTCTCTTCTTTGGTGATTAAATTTCCTTCATTATCTCTCACTGGTTTCATCCGTGTTAATCTCTTCCCTTCCAGACAGTAACCTGGTTATTTGATACAGTGTTGTCAGGTCTATCCTACCTGCAGCATGTTCTGCTTCACTTGCCGGTGTAATGACACCCAAGCGTTGTAGACACTCAGACTCACAGCAGACACTACTGGCAGAAGAAGAATAGGAATTACACAGTATCGTTTTTATTAAGGACACAGCTTAAACTCAGCGTGTTTTCCCAACAACCGATCCAGACAGGGTTTTTATGCATCTTCGTCAATGTTAAGTTTACCTATTCTCTGTTCCACTTCTCCTAGCCCGTTCACTGTGTTGTATCCTGAGAGAGAAGAAAGAGAACATGATCAGTGTTTTCAATTAGGTTTCGAATACGTTACACCAGTGTGTCGTGGAAGTGTCTTTTGTCTTTCCATGCACTCTTCTTCACTTCTTTGTCCAGTGTATTGTTTTATACGTTGTACTGAGTTCCTCTTCTCGTTGTTCATTCTTGCACTGATTCATCTTCTGCTTCACCATCCTCGTCTCCCTGCTGTATCACTTTCTGTGTGTCCATTGAGGTCCATTCCTTGTTCTATCTTCTTTCTTCTTCCTTCCTAACACGGTTATGCAGGCTTCTTTGCACATCTCTTCCAAAGATTTTCAGTGTTCTTCCACACAGGTTTTTACAGGGATATTGTTCAATATCTCCCATTTTGTCCTGATGACTGCCTGACGTGAAGATATACTTTGTAGTTTCGACCTTCACTTTCTAATCTAGGTATTAAAACTGAACTGTGATCTATCACCAGCTTCTTCAAAGGCTTTCAACTTGATTTTGAAGGCAGGTTTATGCACTAGATAGTGAGTGGTGTGAACCACCTACATCTGCTCCGTCTTTTCATCTTGTGTCCAGTAGTCTGCATCTTCACTTTCTTCACATTGAGATGAAGTCGATCTGATTTTTAGTGTGTCCTGGTGTCTGGTGAAATCGAATCCATATCGCTCGCCTTGTGAATATCCTTGTGCTTGTACACACTGCGTCCAATAACCGAATCATTGAATACACAGAAGTCTGCAAACAGTTCTCCATTCTCCCTCATCATTTCGCCGACTGCTTCTCGACCCATGATTGGTTCTCTTCCTGTGTTGTCCGCTCCGAGCTTGGCATTCATGTCGCCCCTTAGAATGAATTTTGATGTCACCAACTGGAGTGGGGTCTTGTCCAGTACTGATTACAGTTGTCTGTAGAATTCTTCCTTCTTCTCTTGATCTGCATTATTTGTGGGTGCATATCGTGGCATTGAATGATTGTGACTTTCCTTTCTTTTGAATTGAATCTTGGTGTCATGATCTTGGAGGAGGCTAGTTCCCTCTGCATGGGAGCCTTCGATGTTCTTGGGGAAATCATGATGGCCACTTCCTCCGTGTGCTCGTGTTTGTCGTCTGGGTGAAAATATCGGAGTAGATTATTGACTTCTCTCCAGCTGACAGTTTGGGGAGTTCACTTCCATTCCATCTGCTTTCGCAGATTCCAAGCGCTTCCATGCCATACTTCGTCATTTCGTTTGCAATCTGAGCAGCCTTGCTTAGTTCATACATGGTGCGGACATTCCATGCCCCCATGTTCACTTTTTCTACATCCAGAGTGAGAAGACACATCGGGCGAAGGTGGGAATGTATTTGGTCCGGAATGCCGGGTATCGTTTACTGTAACCAAAACCTATTTCTCAGGCAGCCTGGAAGGAGCGTCTGTTTCTTCCAGGGAGATATACTGCATCGCTTTCTGCAAGATTGGGGATTGTCAGTGAGATGTACCCCACGTACGTCTGCCCACAGGGAGGTAAATACTGTCAGCGAACAGATTACCCTGTGAACGCAAATAAATTGGAGTTTGACGCTTGGGAGGGAGGGATTCACTGATCATTTTTAAGGGAGCGTTAAATAGAGTGTTTTGACAGGAGTTTTCGTTTTCCTGTGGTTGCATTGTCAAAAGATGTTTCCTACTCGGTGAGGAGACCGATCTCCGAGTTAAGAAAGGATAACATCCAAACGGATGATATCCGATCTGGAACTGGGAGCTGAGTCGAAAGTTGGAGTTAAATTCTCCTTCGTACTATAAATTAGAGTCTGTCACAGAAAGTTACTCCAATACTGCTTTGCTTCTTATGATTAGTGAGTTCTATTTTTTTATGCAATGATAAATTAGGTTTTTTGGCAGGATTCAAACACTGATCCCCATTTTCGATCATGCAATAATTCTTGCTTATTGATCATTAGTATACTTAATGTGATTAATATTTACCGTCCGTTTCATAATTTGATTTCACTTTTATGTTTGTAGGTGCAACGTCATGCTTTGTGGGTGACAATGCCGATCTAATTATGCTTAGAGACGCTTTGGATATACTTTTACCCAAAATCGCAAGATGCGTTGACCGGTTAGCTAAAAAGGCTCTGTTGCACAAAGACTTGGTTTGCCTCGCTCTTACTCATCTACAGCCCGCCCAACCCACTACTATGGGACGCAGAATATGTATGTGGATTCAGGATTTGTTAATTGATCTGGAGAATTTGGAGCGATTAAAAAATCACACGCTACGTTTTCGAGGTACCAAAGGTGCCGTTGGAACTCAAGCTTCATTTTTGGATTTATTTAAAGGAGATCATGAGAAGGTTTGTGCTCTGTTGCAAATAAACTCTTTTCACTACAGTTTACATTTTTTCTAAACCGTCTAACTTAATGGGAAATAAACGTACTTTCTATACTAATTTACAATGTCGCTAAACTTGTCGTACCTCGGTATCCTAGTGGATACCGTCCCGTCCCCATCACTCACTGTGTTGCAAGTAGATACAACTAACGAGTGTTAAATAAGACGAACCTGGCACCCTAGTTTCTCTTGCTAACCGCCACCAAGCAAATTAGAATACTGAGTCTTCAGGTAATGCCAAGGTATCAGCATGGAAGCCCATATACCGACAGATTTTGATCATTTCTACCGGGATATTTCAAACATAAGTAGTTGTTGATGCAACTTCCGCAATCAAATATCGAAATTTAACAAGCACTAAACTACTATCATCATCCTGATTTACAAATCTGTAGTTGCGTAGAAGCTTTTTAGTACACAACGCATGTATGTGCTTGGAGATGAAAAAACTTTGTTAGCTGAAGAGCTTTTACTGGGAAACAGTTTTTGGTGGAATGTTTTTATAGTAATTAATACTATGTAACTCAACCTGGTATATGTCTATATTCTAGGCTATGAGCCACACTTTTCTTGCGATGGCTTCTTATACTACTGGTTTGCCAAGATTGAAGTTTCTGAGGCGGAATTTTACTGAGAGCCTATTGCTTGCAAGTCAAGTTCGAAGGCCATTGATCTATCATACGAGAGTACCAGATACGGACCACTTGTCAATTTCCCTATTGAATGGAAAATTTTAAGATAAAGCGGGTGAAAATTAGTGTAGTGTACGCATTACTTTGATCGCAACTCTACACAATACGAAAAATGACTATCAATTTTAGTCGTATCAGTGCCTCGACAAACGTTTTTAATATTGATAACACCATACTAGCCAAGTATTTAGATTCGTAAATTGGTTTACATATGATAGCCTATTGTGAGGTGTCGTGTAGTTTGTTTACGTTTAATTGTGGTCGTGGAATATAACCTCCTCCACTTTTATTTAACTTTATCAAAGACCTTAAGATGGGTGCTTACTTGTTACCTGGCTTTACTATAGTTGAGTTTGTCACACGAGACTCCATAGTTAACCTAGGGTGCTTAAATGACATTTTGATATCACCTGAAGAAGCCGACAAAATTCATTTTCTCGGAAACTGAATAACAGTTCGAGTGTTTGGAATGCTTTTCCCCGCTCCCAAGATGCAAATCATTGCATAAAGTCCGACCTGTGCTTATGCCTTTTCAGGACGCCAGACAGAGAGAATCAACGTAGAACCTCGCATACAAGTGAGTCGATTCAAGTTGCCACACTTCTTAGTAGTATACTAAGAACAGGTGAATAAAAAGAGTGATATTAAAGTGGAAAACGTTGTATGAGAAGATGGCTTTCAGATAAAGTTTTTCGGAAGTATTGAAGCTTTGGAAGACGTCAAAGAGTGAATACATCTGCACCATAGTGATCGATTTCGAGGCATGTCACCAAGGATTTTCAACCACTAATCCCTTTCGTCTTAGGGACCCCAACCAGGCAGTCTGCATCTCTTCCTTTAGCTCAAACCAACAATCTGGAACTTCATCGACTGGTGTCACATCTTGGTTTGGCCGCTCTGAACTCTCTCCCAATCTAATCCAGCTTCCTCTATCATGGGATGTTAAAGTAGGTGCTGAATGGGCATGCGTAGTACACATGTTCAAGCCATCTCATCCCATGAAGGTCCACAGCCTTGTCAATCGACTTTCCTGCCTTCTTGCTTATTACCTTTCACCTGACCGCAATATTCTTCATATGGTGATTCTACCATACGCGAGCGATGCTGCGAAGACACCTGTGATCTGAAACCTGTAGCCGCTTCATGTCTCCTACTTTCAATGACCATGTCTCGCAGCTATATAGAACGACAAAATGGACTCCAGCACAGTATACTCGTCCTTTGATGGACAGCCGGATATTTCGCCAGTGGGCGTCACAGAAGAGGGAAGTTAGCAGATGCTAATCAGGCGTTGTAACTGAGTTGAGATTTCGTCAGCCACCACCCCGTTTGGCTGACTGATGTAACTCCCCAAATAAGTGAAGTGGTTGACACATTCCATCACACCACTCCCTATCACTAAACTGGTTGTTATTACAGACTAGTCCTGGAAATCGTCTTACATTTGACAGGTGCGAAACGTATGCTAAATATACTCAGATTTCCTCTCAAGGCGTTCAGAAGTCTCGGAATCTTGTCAACATCCTCACGAAGCATGAAAATATCGTATGCAAACTCCGAGCCGACCAGTTAGCCTCAAACGAGTAGATCGATCCCTGTGAAGTCGAATTTACTTAAGGTTATGTCCATTGGAACGTGAGTTCAAGTAGAGAGCTTGGATAAGCACTGCCCTCACAGTCGGACGCTTCCACAACACCTCATAGTTGAAAGAGTCGAATGCCGCGATGAGATCAGGAAGTATGGGAAATTGTCGACCGTTTGCTTACAAGCGTGCCTGTGTCCCAGAACCTGTCGGTAGTTGAAAATCTGATCGTTGCATCCTCGTTCAGGTCTGAAAGCTGCCTGGTTTCTCGAGTTTAGTGTTCTTGATCTCCAGTTAGCCGTCCGATAACTATGGACCCTAGGATGTCGGACACAATATTAGTCAAACTAATTCCTCTGTGTTTGTTGCGCGAAGAGTTCTCTCCTTCCTCATAGACCGGAACGATCAGAGGAGTAGACCAGTGTGACGGGACTACCTTTGATTTCCATACACTACCTCGTACGTTCGTCACTTTAATTTGCTACTTCCCACCTCCATCCTTGAGAACGTCGGGTGGCAAACTGTCAGGCGCTGGTGCTTTGCATCTTTTCAGGTTTGAAGCAGTTGTCTCAATTCCCAGGAGGGTTGGTGGACCAACATCTATGTTCGACTCAGGTTCGTATTGGATGTTTGGCAACTGAAGTGTTACTGGTGACCAGTTGATTAACGCTTCAGAGTGTTCTGCCCAACGTTCTAGTCGTCTGTCCTGGGGGGTTATCAGCGTCCCGTTATTTTTGTGGTGATGGTTTCACTCACCATCGTTTTCTTCTTCCCGGTATCTTCAGTAAGCTTAAATAGTAGCGGGACTTCACCCAACGCTAATACCCTCATTTCTCTCGCTCTCATCACCTGAGACTGCTGGTGATCAACGTGAAGACTCATGGTCAATTCACGTTTAAGTTGCTTTTGCTTTTCACTGTGGTCTGAGCCAACCACCTGGAATCAGTCTTCTCACACCAATGAATTGGAATAACGTTGTGGAAATCTAATTAGGTTTGGTAACCTCCGTGGGTAGGTTACCAGCTGTGTTTACTGCTGATTTTACAGTGGATTTAATATGACGCTAGGTTTCGTCAGGATGAGTATTATTGTCATACTTAAATGAATGGTTCGCTAACTCCTCCTTAAACACGTACTTGGCGTTCTCATCTTCGTAATCGACCATAGACAGGCTGTATAATGGCCTTTTTCGTGCGACTAGTAAGGCGCAGATATAGTCGAGCTTGTACTAGAGCATGATCGAAGTCCGAACTGGTGCTCCAGAGAGAGTGGTAGTCTTCCAACTATGGCTAATAGCAATGTGATCTATCTGTGTTCATCGTTGGTTTTGTGTTGGTGGACGCCATACGAGACAGTATCTGTCCTTATGCGTAGAGTTAGTACTGGGCAGGAACAAGTGATTGTGGGAACAAAATTGCAAGGAACGATCACTGTTGTTGGTTCATTGGCATGGAATACGGTAAGTAACCCCAGTATACCTTTGTGATTGGCTCAACTTCCCTACTTGAGGGTTGAAGCTGCCTGTTGCTATGACTATATCTGTACGTTATGCTTTGTGCAGTGAAGTTGACAGTTTTTCACAGAATTTGCATCATTGCATCATTGGGACTGCAGTCTTTAGGTGTATAGTCGGAGATTGCGAACAGACATGGGTTGGTCTCATGATCCTTTCTGCTTCTCATAGATGCATTTATTGGAAGAGCACATGGACAAGTGTTGACTGGTATTCGGTGGAGAAGCTCATTTTCTGTCTTACATCTCAATGGTATGCCTACACCAGCTAGTCCATGAGAGCTAGCCATTCATTCTTGTACTTGTATGGTGGAATTTGAAGATTCAGGACAATGGGCAAGTGAGGTCAATTTAATAATCACACTGGGGTCCTATATAAGTGTCGCAGAGACAGTATGTATCCATGGCTAGAGATTCCAGAGTTTTGGGGAGTGAGGTCCACTGTTAGAGTTGGCTTAGAGTTCACTCGTTGAAAACTCCAACAGGAAATGAATCGCGGGGTCTTAGGAGATTAGGATTGACGTTTTGATGGCTTTGCTCGTTGGGTTTGGTTGCAGAATGAGGTTAGGCAAGGTTCAAGAGGCTTAGTACTCGTGTCAGGAGGTGAAGACAAAGGAGGAGAGAGGGTTTCGGTGGATAGGTTAAGTTTGATTGGGTGTTATGTACTATTGGAAGCGTGTGGGCGGTTGACACTTTGTGACCGCCCACACTGTGGAAGGCTGTTTATTCTTGAGGTTTGGTAACCGTCACGTGTAGGTTACCAACTGTCTTATCTCTGATTCTAAAGCGGATTTAATATGACGCTAGGTTTCCTCAAGGTGAGCATTGTTGTCATGCTTAGATGAATGGTTCGCTAACTCCTCCTTAAATACTTACTTGGGTTAGTGTGTGACTGCAGAGTCCAGGTGACATCTGCTTGAGGCTATTCGCTTGGGCTTTTGGCGAGTTGGAGGTTTTGGTGTTTTTTTAATCGAACATAAATTCTTGTCGCAGGGCTAGGGATACCTCGGGGAGGGGTAGTAGTGTGGTATTTTCGTGACCGACTTTTTCTAACCCCTCCCTGCTTCCCACAGGAGAAGCAGCATCAGCTTTGCGCTGGTGGTCATCTAAGGGAAACACCTTACTGCTGTCACACCCCTGTCCAGTCAGCAGTGAGGCTTTTCTCTGGGGCCCCCTCATAACGTAGCGATTCGCACTATAATGGTAACTACTTTTTGTCTTCCTACTATACAACAGACCTTTCTGGTACGGGAAGAAGCGTTTTACCAGCATAGGTCGTTGGATTACTGTGATATGCAAGCCACACCACAACGTCAAGGTAGCGGCTATCGGTTGGAAAGATAATTTACAGTGAAATGTTTAAGCTCAACAACCACTTCACTTACTGGGAAGGTTGGACCAGCCGTTGTAGATCAATGATCACCGCAATCTGGCACATATACATGAAGTTAGATTGGCTTTTCCCAACCTTTATCTCTTATAACATCGGCTAGATATCAAATTACTTATCAAGTGTGTACTGCGCTGTAGTACACTCTGTTCTAATATGCTACTCTAGTTCGCCTTTTAAAGATGGAGGACACGAAAAACTTCAAGTGTTTGACTAATATTTTTTCTTATTATTAATGATGTTTCGTGCTATCACCACGCTAATAATCTATTCAGCTGTAGAAATTAACGCAAAAGATACTCTTATTGTTGGTTTTAATCTGTTTGTGCTAAAGTGCATTTTCTGTCGTGTAGTTTACAGAGTTCGAATACCTTAGCTGGATATTATATGCATATACTAGCATTATCTTTATGTTTTTTATTGACACCATTTATTCAGTGTAATGCAATGACCGTGGTGCTTACCTCTTTCTGACGAGTTCTGTAAATGTAACTGTTAGATTACGCATATTTATGCAATATAACTTCAAAAAGGGGTTGGATATCCACAGAATTGTTAGTCACTAAGATTAACATAGGCCACTTATATTTAACGACTGAAAACTAGTCTTTTCATTCACTAGCTGTAAAAAGTTGAAAGCTTGGTAAGCAACTTTGATCTGTAGTCTAGTCAGTGTTGCACTTACCTCACTTTTTTGTTAGATTCATTTAAACATCAGAAATCTCTTTTGTCACGCGAATAATACATTAAGCAGTCGGGTTTAGTGAAGATATATAGAAAATGCTTATGAAGTTTCATTTTTGTTAGAGTGTAATAGGTAATGTGTGATAATCGTTGTGATCATCTTCCACCATGTATCAGCAATTCTGTTTAGAATGCAAGTAACCGATTGGTCAGTGTGACAGTCTCCTCAATCATTTACTCTGATTCACTGAAGTTTTGAGAAACTTTCAAAACTTACCACCAAGTGAACTCAATGGACTTAATGGGGAATTGGATGCCAGTTGATGAAATTTCAACTAGACAAATAATGCGGGATAATTCACTTTATTCACTTAATAACCGGATAAGTACAGCAAAGTAACCAGGCCTTCATATCAACCTTTGGTTTCAGGTGGCAAGTCGAATTTTTCCATAGAATCTTGAGATTAGGTAGTTTCACTAAATGGAAAATTTATTTTGTGTGCCACTAGGTGCCTGAGTTGAATGGTGGTGAGTCAGCCGTTGTACCTTCAAGAAAAAGTGTCGGCCAAGTGGCTAAGATTCAGTCTGTTCTATCTTATATGGAAGGGAAATACCTAGAGAGATGACAATTTGAAATGTTATCCCTATTGTATGAATGTAGAGTAAGTGGGTCAGCCATCTAATTCTCTACACCTACACTTCAAACATCTTTTTGATAAATAAATGATTTCAAATGAAGATTGTCAGCAACATTTCTCTGCTGAATTGATGTGCAAGGCCATTTATCAAGGAGGACGCAAACAGGCGGTTGAAATGAAGACATAAATCGGTCAGGAATATGTTGTGTTACCATTTCCGTTCCACTTAGCAGAAAACAGCATCATGGAATTATTCATCGCATTTACATGTAAAGATAGTTTTCGAAGCAGAAAAACAAGGTAAACATGTACCAATCAATAGTATATACCGACATATCCACCGGTCAGCATCACTGTAATTATGACATCTTAGATTTATTCCCTTGAGGAGGCAATATGCGGAGTGATACGTGGCATTCAATGTAATTAGTTCATTTGGATGAGTATTTTTCCTACTAATGAGCTTTTGTATGTTATCGATTAATTTAGGGAAGTAAAAAGGTTTTTATTTATATAGTGTGTTAAAACGGTTAACATTTTGAAGCGAATATATAAATTTGTTTTACTTGCTTTAAATTTGCGTCTAACGTATCGAAGGATAAATTCATTGGCGAAGTTTTTACTTCCATTTCAATGGCTTACTATTATGTGTATATACAAACACTGCATATCTCATGTACTTGATGCCCCACCTCGATGATCACATCATGGCTCATTGAATGGCCTCACCTAATTCAAAGTTTCTCAGTAGTATCAGCTGTTAGACACATAATAACTCCAAAAAACATTATCTATATGTCTTAATTGTAATTTAGTTCACTGTACTCTACTACGGTTCACCATATATTCTCAATAAACAGGATGGTTTTCACGTTTCTTTTCCATGTAGTATGAATTGTGAGCGATGCATTTCTACTGGGATTATATCATACATTCTGTATTGTTTTACAGGTCATCAAACTGGACGATCTGTTGACAAAGAAGGCTGGGTTCCTGCGTTCTTGGTGTGTGACAGGTCAAACGTATCCCAGAAAAGTAGATAGTGAGATTGTAAGCACATTGGCTAGTTTGGGTGCGACCGTCCATAAAATATGTACAGATATACGACTTCTGAGTAGTTTTAAAGAGATTGAAGAACCGTTTGAAACAAGTCAGGTAATTATTCTTTGTTACTTGCTGTTAAAATCAATTAGTATTTAACAATTTTTTTCAGTCAGTGATTATTTGCAATATCTTTCTTCAGCGTTCTAAGCTGTGGTGCATACTCCCCTAAGATCGAAACGCACTCAGCAACCATGTACACATTCGTGCCGTAGGCAATGAGCCACACCTACCGTGTGAGGGCTAATGATACTACCTGACCAACGGGGACCTTGGTAGGTGTAGCGGGGTTCTAACTCGTAGCCCATCGATTGAAAGTCGTGTCTAGACCGGTGAACCATAGTTCTACCAGTACACTTCTACTCTATTCATAACCATGTGCAACAAGAGTGTATTATTCCTGCCGTCATACTAATATAAGCTGCCTACAATAAAGATGAAAGAAGTTTCCTAAAGAACAGTTTCGATTTCAGTATTATCGATTATAGATCTTTCCTAGTGGGTTATGCACTCAACTTCCTTAGATTTAGTTTCTGTAACCAGGTCGCCTTGTAACCGTAGGTTCGACTCATCATTCATCAAGCAGACGAACCTGTGCATAGTATTTTGGTTAGCTTCTACTTCTTGATACTGTTTTCTTATAAATGTGATCTTGTTTACAATAAAAAAGCCCCAGGATTTTTTAAGCCACGAATATTAAAAGTATATTACAGACCTGGTTGATATTTACTTACATTCCATATTGTAAAATCCTTCTTGGATAATATATTCATCCATTCAGTGTGATCATCTTTAAACACTGCCTTCGGTGGTTTTGATTTACGATACGAATGTCGACCTAGCGGCTCCTACATCACTCACGGTTCACTTACACTGAGGCTGGTTGGAAGAAGTGGTGAGGTGGTGGTCAGTGTTGTTGTGTTGAATTAGAATCTGTAGGTGCGTTACAAATCAGTGAATGGTGTCCGAAAGATCACAAAACTCGGGAACCTGAGACAATAGTGGACATGACCCAGAATCGAAACCAGGGCCCATTGTATCGCCTTTTTCTTGTTTCTTTTGATACGGAAAAGTAAATCGTAAGTAGTGAATGCCTTTTTGAATGCGTCTTTGAGATTACGTTTCCAATAACCCGTTCCAGTTTTCGTTTCCGTTCTGTCTTCCATTTAGGTGTCTTGATGTCGTTGGTTTATTCTCTAGGGCGCATCTTTTGGTGTCCATCATTTATCAATCTTGTGTCATGATAATAATAATAATAATTTTCACAACGCCTAAACATGCACTACCTCGTACAAGACTTAACTACGTGGTGTTTCCACCGGACGCTAGCAACCCCATAGACAGTGATAACCGAATACAGAGTCAGTGGACATCTTCATTTCGAAGAGGCCACGTTTCACAACGTAGAGATCGAACTGCCCGCATCGATGTGTTGTTCAGCCAACCTACTATAGACATTTCATACAATACTTTCCCTTCACATCTTAAAATAGAGGGAGAGCAACGGCTCCAGCAGAATAGTATGAATCCATTTCATTTAGCGGTTTCTCATCAGCTGCTTACAACCGAAAACAATTTGAACATCAATTTACATAAGTTTGCTAGAGAATTATCGGTTTAAATTAAAGATAACAACGATGTGAAGTAATTAAAAGCACACGAACTCAATGAATAAATAGGCAGAACTAAGTTTATCATTTTGACTGTCTGAGATAGCTGTGGTTTAGCAGACTAGTATTGATACTGAGTGATGATTGAAGGTGAAATGAAGATTTGGACCGCGGCCGGATTCGAACCGGCGACCACTAGGTTTCCAGCTGGTGGAGACAATGTCATGTAAAAACACATGATGATTATCAACAAAACAAAAGTCTTCACCATGGTGGGCACAGACTGATAACTGTTCCTTTCCAAACAGATAAGTTTCGTTTTAGTCGTTTAAATGGCTGATGCTTCAGATTTAAATGGTAGGAGGTCAAAATAACAGTAATACAAGCAGCAACATTAACAATAGTGGTGGTTATAATAATGATGTTGCTAGTTGATGACGTAAAGGTTGAATGATAACTAAAAGGGGTCATGTAAGATTTTTTTAAGTCGTTTATCAGAATTTACCTGTTTATTAATTTCAAGTTGTTATTCATTGAGGAACAAACGAAACCTCGGAGCACTGGGCAGCTGTTTCGTCCTAGTATGGGGCTCCTCAGCAGTGCGCACCCACGACCCCGCCAGGGATCGAACCCGTGACCTTCAGGTTCCGTGGCCAGCACGTTACCATTGGGCCACTGGGTCAGGATCCAATGGTCCATATTTCCAACTTCTGTTAGCTTACGATATTAGTTGTTTTATCTGTTGGGAAAGAAACAGTTATCACTCTGTGCCCACCATGACAAAGACTTTTGTTTTGTTGACGTTCATTCTGCATCTTTATGGGAGACTTTAAAGGTCACCCTAACAGCCAAAATAACCAATGAGGTTGCGATATTTCGTGTGGAAAGACTATTTTTCATGGAATCGAGAAACGGGATTAGTTGTTTCATCAATTGCTAGGGTGACCTTTTAAACCATTCCATTTTTACATAACATTATCGATTGATACCAGTTGAGTTTTTTGTTTCTTTACATTTCACACCCTTGACCTAGTTATCTGAATTCCACCCATATCAGTTAACACAATGATTATGACCTTTCGCACATTTTGTGTAACCAGCCTTCGTGTGTTGAATACCTTTGTCTCACCCCTTATCCAACTTCCGCTTTGTAATATTCCTCTAGTCCTACTATGTATTGGCGAACATAGTTCTGCCTGTGTATTCACTCACTGAGTTCATGTGCTTTTAATTACTTCACATCGTTGTTATCTTTAATTTAAACCGATAATTCTCTAGCAAACTTATGTAAATTGATGTTCAAATTGTTTTCTGTTGTAAGCAGCTGATGAGAAACCGCTAAATGAAATGGATTCATACTATTCTACTCGAGCTGTTATTCTCGTTCTATTTAAATTTCTGCAGACAGGCTGACATCACGACTGTTCTTAAGAGGAAGCTTATTGATGTATATCGTTCTCCCCTTCTGTGTGCGGTCGGTAATCTCATTAGTTACGCACACTTGTCGGTAACTTCAAATGGTTTGCTACCGAAAGTGGGCACAGATACAAGCTTCTGCCAATCTTCCAGGAGCGTGTTTCACTTCAATGGCGCGAAGCACGTACCTTAATGACAAACTGTTAGGTTCTGTGACATACCCACACCGATTGGCATGTCCTACACTGGCTGTAATTCTCAACCTGAAGACAAGATCTCGACTCAGTGAATCGAGAGGTTTTATAGCAATCCCCTGTCTGCCAATGAAAGGGGTTCCGGGTAACCCCATCATTCCGCTGAAGTTTCTGAAGCGGAACAGTATTGGTGGGTGTTAGAGTCTGTAGTGAGTTACCAGATGAGTTGTGCACGTCGAATGATCTTGTGGACATGTTTAGTGTAAATTTGAGAATGTTTGATATGCGTTTCGCATCATGGAAATACAAAGTGTTATTCGAAGATTGGTGTATGACAGTGGGTTGTAGAGAGTTGATTTGAAGTGGTTGAGCGTTCTGGTCACTCCACTTATCTGGGATGTTGGGTCAGCTCTTCTGGGTCAGTTGTTGAGGAGATTTGTGTACGTGTAGAAAAGACTGGATTGGTTTCCACATGGTACGCCATTTATATTTCTGCCTTGATATCCGACTTTCTCTTACAGGTTGAGTGTAGTGGAGTGCAGTTGGCTGTGTTCTACGATTTAATTGTGAGACATGTTGGGTGATTAAAGGTAGAGGATGATGTGAGAAGGCTTTATATATCCAACCACCGTTGCGTTTGTAGGTTTGGTGGTGTTTTGTAGTGTCGCTGCTTGAGTAACGGAGACGCCATTTGTGGGTGACAACGGCAACCGAGTTGTTGTAGTGTCTAGATGACATAGGTGAGAATCGATGTCAATGGCTGATATGTATTCACATATTGTTGTAATCCTAATCATTATACTGAACTGAGTATTTTCTCATTTGCTCTTCTTGTCTATTAGTACTTTCTCTTGCTTTTGATTGATTCTTATTAACTTTATTATCTTTTATCTTCGTGATTTCTGTGATGGTGTGGTGATATGTGGTGTGGTAACGTGGACTGTTGTGCAGTAATGACAGGTCATATGTTGATTTTTTTTCTTCCTGTTTGTATCAATGACGATATTTTTTTATTTCCAAATATTATAAAATATACGCGTGTTGCATCGGAGATGTGGACACTAGAAGTAACTCTACTGCAATATCTGTCTAAAGCAAGTAGCTTTGTGACATCAATTAATGCAAAGATTTATCATCAGTATTTGGAGAAAATGGCTATTTTTTGTACCTGAAATATTATATTTATTTACATTTCCTATTTACGAAGGTTTAACGTGCCTGTATAGATTTATTCCTAGTTCTCTATCTTTTCTGGTTTACAATTACAGATAGGCTCTAGTGCAATGCCATATAAACGTAATCCTATTCGTTCGGAGAGAGCATGCTCTATAGCACGTTATCTAATGCACATGTCTGCTTCATCTGTTTCTACAGCCTCTGTACAGTGGCTTGAACGGTCTCTTGATGATTCAGCTATTCGCAGAATTGTCCTTCCGGAAGCATTTCTAGCAGCAGATGCCTGTCTCATTTTGTTACAAAATATAACTGAAGGATTAATCGTGTATCCAAAGGTATGTCTCTTTTTTCGACAACTTACTCACTATCTTGACGTTTCGAATATGAGTATCTCGTTGTATAAAGTGTTTTATTTTACTTATATATATATATATATATATATATATATATATATATATATATATATATATATATATATATATAATATATGCCGCAGTCATAAACGTAAACGTCCAGCTCCTAAATAAGCACAAAATAAAGAATTTAGTAAACTTTTCTGCAACATATACGTAAATGATGCGCATACGCCAAATAATGATGGATAGTGGCTAGCAGTGGAATCCAGCATGCGCGTTTCGTCCTATTTGGGACTCATCAGCTTGATGTGCCTGCCTCCCAGTTAACGATGTTGTTCCCACTAAGTCTCGAACCCGGGAACAATCGCTCTAAACGTCAAGTAATGTTACAGTACTGCTTAAGAAAGTCTTGTTAGTGCCTTTGAAACTTTAACACATTTGCAAATTTTTATTCCTATCTACCTGAAGAGTATCTTAAAAGACAAATATGAACAAAGAATATTCTTTTCAATAACTTCTCATCAGGTTCTACAGTTATAAAAGGAATTTCTTTAACATATTAATAATAGCCAGAAATCGTGGCGAATGCATCTTAGAATGGGTATGGAATTAAGATTACAAATAGATTGTTTAACTTTGTGGATGGTAGTGTAATTTATACATCTATGTCAAGTGCGGTAATAAGTTGAGTGCAAACTTTATCAATTGATTAGCGATCAGACGTACTGGAAAGGAAAATTAATAATAGAGTTCAATGCTGCAGTGTGTTGGATGAGTGATTAGTACAAAGAATTTACTACAAGGGCAGAAATGGATTGGATATGTCATTATAAGACGGTTAAATTGTGAAACTGCTGAAATGATAAGAGTAATAATCATATTTTAAAAAATTCTAACAGGAATTTTGGAGATTTATTATTATAAGACGAGAGGAAAGTCTAGTTACAAGTAAAAATAACAGTAATGATTTTGTAGTTTAAGGTTATTGGCGATTTTATGTTTAGGGTAGCATTCATCACGGACTGACACCATTTGGAGAACCGTTGAAAACTTGGGAGCACTGGACAGCCGTTTCGTCTAAGTGTGGGACTCAGCAGTATGCACCCACGACCCGATCAGGGCTCGAACTCAGGACCTTCGAGTTTCACGATGAACGCGTTAACCATCCAGCTGCTTGGTCAGAGTTCACCGGTTCAGTTTCCTACTGCTGTCGATTCGCAGCATAGCGCGACTATCACCCAAAGTCTTCTGTTTAGGAGTCCCACACTAGAACGAAACGGTTTTCGTTCATATTTGACTTTCAATATATGAAATGGAAATCTTTAATCGTCTGAAGAGCATCTACTTAAATTGTAAGCGTTTTCCGGAAAGAAAGAGATTTTACTGCTCCTAAAATTCATCATACAGCTTCGGTCTAATAGTCGAATGACATGTAACCATCACAACACTGACAGCTTATGTCTGTGAATTTGTCAACTGAATCATTTTCACTCGAATGCAACAAATCTAATCAATTTTTATAGATTTGGTTCTTTAGTTTTTCACACAACTTTAATACCAGATAATCTTTGTAACTATAACCTTAAGATGCTCCTAAGTATACATCATAGCTTGTGATTACTACGGGTTGTGTTTGTATTTCAAACTAAGAAATGCGACCTGTTGTTTAAGTCTTCTACTTGTCAACCACAAGATCAAAGTTTCAAAGTCTATAACATCAAATGATTTATTTTGTTTGCTCACAAACTTGCGATATATTTAGTTTATTTACCACTCCACTTGTGAGTATAGTAAGATATACAGCTGCTAGATAGTGAAAATAACAGCAAAAAACTAGTGTGTTCATCTGATTGGTAAAGATGACTTATATTTTAACTCGATTCTAAGTGCTTTTTTATTCCACTGAGACAGCCGATATCAAATGATTTTCTAAGTTTCTGAATTGCTTTTTCCACTGTTGAAGTCACTTGCATACTGTTGTCGATAAATGTCGTAACTGTTATTTATTTCAAAAACCCAGTGCAGTGTAGGAAATCATATCATGTAAGCTAGTCATTTTCACCATTTTGACCTTGATGGGGATTGAGTAACGGAGAGGTTTAACCAAGATTCTTGGATACATTGCTAGTGATATGTCCTTTATCTCTGCCACTCATATATAAGATCCTGGTGAAGTGTTGTAAATACCTTTGTTTGAACTTAGATTTTGTTTGATACTTACTTTTATGGGCAATCTATGACATCGGCACTAACAAGGCCGGATACGAATATCCAAGTTAAGCACAAAAGCCTAAATTTCACAAGTTAACTTGATCCCCCGTTAACACTCGTTTGTTTGCTGTTAGGTTGAAACACTCAATTGAAGTAATAAGTAAGTGGTAAGTGCAGTTAGGTTTCTTCATTTTCGCCTATGCTCTAATGAAATGAAATCTGGATTTCAGTTTGCGTAAACCACTCCCTAACAACTGTAAACAATATTAATGATAGATAGTGGCTAGCAGTGGAATTGGGGACGCGCGTTTCATCCTGTTTTAGACTCATCAGGAATGACCGACGTGTTCTACATGTACTTAGTATAGGTTGCAGGTCCATTTCCAATAATCGAATGAGAGTGCGGGTCTCTAATAATGGTCCTAACCTCTCGCGTGTCAAGTTACGCTGATATGAATGGATCCCTAGCCGACGACGCACATTTAGTCGCCCTTGGTTGGATAGCTGACATTGCTGATGACTTTGATGTCTGCGGTATTCTGTATCGTAGTGGAGAATGTGGGGGTGGTTACCAACAACGGTCCCAATTCCTCAGCGTGCACAAGCACATCACCGTAAAAGGGGGTCGCTTTATGCCCCTCTAAAACTTATGGAAATGACGGTATTATCCGGATATCCCCGCCTTAAAATGCAGTGGGAGAGGTGTCATTCGCATTCCACCACTAGCCGTGAACAACATCGCTCACCAAAAGGCAGGTACATCCAGCTGACAAGTTCCAAATAAGAAGAAATACGCATGCTCGAATCTACTGCTAGCCATTATCTATCATTAATATGTAATTGAAACAGGCAGTATCGAGGCATCCGCGCAGGAGCGCATTTGTCAATAGAGAATGATTAATTCGGTTCACTCAACAACTGGATAGTTCAAGCAACAACATTACAACTTAAAGCAATGCAAGCCAACCAGAACTTCAAGCAATAATGAGTCGTTGTGTGAAATCAGTAAATAAAATCGTTGAAGAGCCAAATTCAGTTAATCATATATAATGATCTAGTGTAACTCAACCCAGCCAAGGTTGTACTACCTGTTTACCGTGGACAACATAAGTGGAGGAGAATCCAAACCAGAGAACTATTGCTTGAAGGTCAAATGCCTAAGCCAATATACTACATCTCCTCACTACATGTATATGCAGCACTGACAACATTGTAGTGAAAATAGTAAGAATAATTGATTTCACGTTGTTGAGATATTGGTAAAGGACGATTTCAGTGAGCGTTTGAAATCTTCCTTGTAACGTTATATCTTCATGTATTGTATGAGGGTTTAAATACTGACTTCATGTTCAAAGCGAAGCAGATAGTTCACCTGGATCTTCGATTTTAAATTTAATCAAAACTAAAGCACCAGGTGTTAAATTCTTATGCTTTTCGATAACCAAACAAAGACAATTAATGTAGAACTTTGCACAACAGTGTGTAAGTTCAATTCACCTCACTTCACAGCAGGAGAGGAAGAAGAGCTTATTTTAGCAAAGAGATGAGATAAATCAAGTCCATTAAAATATTCAAGCATTTGATGATAAAGGATGTGCACGTTTGCACCATTATCATCTTGTCATCCTAAGCACCCCAGTCCGATGGCCTACACCTCCCTACTCGACTAAAGATGGCAGTCAGCGGCCCTTATATAATGATTCACGTCCTAGTCCAGCCACTCTTCACTTTTATATACTCTACTCCTACCTCATTGAAAATTGCACAGCAAGGTGGGTGGTGATTTAGCATATGTAACTCATATCGCAGCCATTTTGGTTGGTCACGGTTCACAGTTTCATTGACTGACGTGTCCTGTTTACCAAGTAATCAGTGCCTAATCTCAACACTGCTCACTGTAGTTCCAGCACACAGGGGCAGTTTTGCGATGAAGTGTGTCACCAAGGCCTCTAGTTTCTTCATATCTGCCATTCTCAACGGTAATGTTTCTCATCCATAGAGTAGGACGGAGTAACCCTAATTCCTGTGAACAAAGTGGGTTTATAAACCATTCTTTTTTTTCTGGATCCAAAAGCCCGTGTGCATCATTAGTTTTAAATCAGTGTTTTACAACTGTGAGGTAAACAAAAACCGTTCGTGTACACCAAGCCAGTTATAAACGTGTGCCACTTGCTTACGTGAAAACAGTCCTGCCATGTAAAGACTATGAATAGGAATTCTCAATGTAATGTGGCAGTGTATGTCAATAATCACTACCCATATTATCAGTCTTTACTAACCAGTGGTATTGCTGACAAATATGAAGTAAAAGGAGTTAAGTCTCCAGTTGTTTAACAAAATTCCGGTATATTAAAACACTTATTGATCACAACGAAACTTAAGCCTTGGTTCATCTCGCTTCAGTTGTGTACTTTAAAATATCCATTGAAAATCTACTGCATTTTTCAGTTCCCTAGGCCTGTGTCCATTAGTTTGACCTGTCTAAAGTATACTGTTGTTTTCTTTTGGAACTACTAGTGACGGCGAGTCAATATATGCTTGCTTTATGTTTTCAAGATGTCTACTGATCATGTCATTTACGTAATACATTTGATTATGTTAAAACTGATGAATATAAGTAATTCCACTCATCATGTATATTTATTGGATTGTGAACAACGCTTCATATTGCGGAACTTATAACACTACTGTACCTACGAAATGGAAATTGGTAGTCTCCTTTGTGTACATTGACCTTGTCAGCTTTATCCGTACACACATGTCGTAAGTTATATAAATTTCCAGCTATTATCACTAACACAACAGTGAGCTTAAGTGCATGTACACAACTTTGATGTTATTACTAACGTAATGTACATTTGTGAGGTAAAAAGTATATGCTGTATTGATGCGTGCCTAGAATACTGTCTGAATAGTTTGCATCTTTCACACTTATAAGCAGTATTGTCACCGTCATAATTGAGGACTTTTTTCTCTGGTCCGTATCGGTGTTCAGATGTAAATACAGCAATACAAAAATTTGAAACACTTGATACCTTTCATAAATTTTGACGAAAAAAAATAAGAAAACTTAGTTGTTTATCATTTTGACTATCTGAGATAGCCGTAGTTTGGTAGACTAGTATTTATACTGGGTGATGATTGAAAATGAAATAGAAATTTGGACCTCGTAGCTCAGTTGCTGGAGCATCATTCCGGAAATCTGGTGGTCTCTAGTTCAAATCGACCGCGGTCCAAATTTTCATTTAACCTTCAGTCATCACCCAGTATAAAAACATAGTTGATCTGAAATATGTGATGCACTATCACAAATATATATAAACTGACTAACTATGGTCATGGCCATTCCCTTAAGTCTAACTGATATCTATTTTTTGCACTCCGAGAATCTGGATGAAAATTCGAATGGAAATATTCCTTTCGACAAAAGATATATGGATGGCATCATAACTGTATGTGGTAGACCATAAGATCCCACCATTGGTTTTCATTTAAAAGAATAAAATTCAGGTTGGTATATCCTTAACATGTCAGAAAGAAACAGACGGCTGTCTACTATTCTTAAACATCCTCATAACTTGCCATAAAGGCAGGTCAGTGAAACGATTCATCTACAGAAAGTTTACAGATCTGAGGTAGGTTGTCTCACTTCAATAAAAGTAATTGATACACTTTCGCTTTGCTGATAATTATTGCTGAACAGTAAAAACAACTAACTTGTCAAAAACAGGACTAGATATCTACACAGCTGCCTGCGCTCGATACTGAAGATCAGATGGCCAGAAAGAATAAGTAACAAGGAACTCTGGCTGCAACGAACCAACCAAGAAGCTATTATCCAACAAATATGCAGAAGGTGGAGATGGATTGGACATACACTGAGAAAACCATTCGGAGACATCATGCACCAGGCTCTTGAGTGGAACCCAAAGGGAAAACGACGAGTTGAACGTCCGAGGCGAGGGTGACATGGAGGAGATGGTGTGAGGAGGAAATGAAAGCTTTTTGAGCAGACGTGAAGCCAGGTTCAAAAGACTGCAGAGAAGAGAGTGAAATGGAGACGTGCTACTGAATCCGTATGTTCCACTAGGAACCCAAGGGACAAATAATAGTATATTTACACTGTAAGATAACTTGTCAATCATGTGTATCTATTCAGTTGCCCATTTTCTTTACTGTGAGGATTCACTGCACAACTCTTTTAAAATCTGGATTTCACAACTTTCCTCAATGTATATATCAAACCACGTTCATTATTTTGTTTCTAAAATCCATTATCTACTTTCCTTCATTCAAATAGCAAACAAATAATTTAAGAAACTTCTTTCTAAGAATGTCTAACATACATCCATGTAAGGAAAGAGGATAAGTATACTTATCTTCAACAGTATTAACGAATTTCTAGTCAGCGATCACATGTCAACTTGTACTAAATGTACATGTAGCATATCCCCCGTCGTCTGAACTTTGAATTAAATAATACAACCAATGACCTCACCTTTTATCATCGTTTAATTGACAGTTTGAAAGGCATAGAAAAATTATCAGGCTAAATATTCCTCTGGATAGAACTGCTGTGAATAGATTTTTTACAAACGATCATAAATCCTGAAAAGAAATACGTAGTCGTCGTTAATTTTCATACCATTTTACATTTATTTAACGTGAATTCATTGTATATTCTTATGCAATTGTCAAAAGTTTATTCGCTATAACGTTATTCTGAGCACAATCCTTGGTCTATCTCTTTAACTAAGAATTTTTCTAACTTTGTGTTGCCATATTTTAATGAGTAAGCATTACAGATTCATACTGTTTCTCATATAATTTATTATGTTGAGAACATTAAAACGCACTTGTTCAAACTTTCTAATAAGCGTTATTTATTCGAATTTTTCCGTAGTAAGTTTTATTTATTTTTGATCCAATATTACATCTGGACGTTGGTAACCATGTAATTGAAACAATTTGGTGAAGAAGAGTATTCTGTACATCAACCGAATAAGATTCTTCTTCTTTTAGAATTTTGTTAAGCGCCCTTTTCTTCATAGTAGCCAGTGAAGTAACACATTGCATCAGTTGTCCATGAGTAAATAAGTAGTATTACTTAGATCTGATTTAAAAAAATCTTTCAAAAATGAATTGAAAATTGATTACAGTCAGTTTTTTCCTCAGTTTAAGGTTCATACTATTTTGAATCACCAGTTGTAGTTGGGTTTACTTATCCTTGTCAACTGTTCAGTTTTTGATTTTCTCTTGAGACGGGCTAGATATTTGTGTCGTCTGGGTATTTCTAAAACTGGATTCATGTATCAGGGTTTCTTTTTTTAAAGAAAGTAGTTTTATCTGTCTTACTACTCTTCTAAGCAAAGGTGATTGTCGTCTGAGCATAAAAACAATCAGATGTGTAGTACTTAAATTAAACTTTTTAACTTTAGCAACCAAAAATAATTTTAATGTTTTTTTTTTAATTTTCACGTTTTTGGCTCTACTGAAGCTCTCTTTTCATTGAAATTTACATACCTACCTTACAAAAATACACTGGTCTGAAGCTGTACTACTAACCATGGATTGTTGTTTTTCTGCCAAATATTTTCGTTGACCTAGTTACCTTTGTTAATTAATGTGTTCAAATTATTCATAAACTCTCACATAATCTGTCTGATTATGAATGGTTCTTGGTTTATTATTTTTCACTTATAATCTATTTAGAATCGTTTATGTGCGTGCTTAAATAAACTGTAATGTATTTTTCTTTACTAATTTTTTGCAGATAATGGAAGCTAATCTAACAGCTGAACTTCCTTTCCTTGTTGTTGAGCGTATTTTAGTCAAAATGGTGTCTGAGGCAGCAGCCAATCGTCAAGAATGTCATGAACACCTTCGGAAGCATTGTCACGAGGCTGCCGTAGAAATTAAGCTAAAGGGTATCAAAAATAGTCTTGTAGAAAAATTACTCAGTGATGATTATTTCGCTCCTATTCATTCACTGCTTCCTACAATACTGGATCCAAAAAATATGATAGGTCGCGCCCCTGAACAGGTAATGATTTTTTTCTCGTTCTGCACACTTCTTGTTTTCAGTAGTTTTCTAGCTTTCAAATTTTTATTGTCAAAACTGATTTCTGTTGCCTTCATGTGGTGGTCTGGCTTGCATATCGTAATACCTTGACGAGCTGTGTTAGTGGAACGCATGTCCCTTCGACGTCGTGACGTACCAGAAAGGTCAGTTGGATAGCGGTAAGATAAATCCAGTTACCGTCATTACCTAAATTACTTCGCTGTGATGGGAGTCTCAAGTCGAAATCGCTCTACTGACTGGGTGAGAGTGTGACAGTAGTTACGCATTTCCCGCAGATGACCACCAGTGTCACGCTGACGCTGGCTTCCTTATAAGAATAAGGGGTCAAGGAAAGTTGGACCTAACAATACCACACTCCTCTCTAACCTATAGCGTATCGGTTTTGGCGATATGGGTTCATAACCGAAGTCGAAACTTCTGAAAAGGGGTTATATGACCGGCTTCAAGAAGATGCCTCTTAAACTCTGGAGTCACGCACTGACTTTTGTTTTCAAGGTACCTTACGAAGAGATAGCCTTCAGTCGGGAAGTGTCTACTGGCCTGTCAGCAATCAAGTTCCCTCCGATCACTATCCACCTTCGGGATTCTTAACCTCTAATCTTCTTTAACGTCTGGCGGTCAGTAATCCCTTATCATCTTTATTTTCTTTCAGCCTTGATGCTCGTGACAACAATCTGCATTCACGGAACAGGACCCATGGTCTTCTAAAACCGCACATCAAACTGCATATTGGAGCTTCCAATGTCCACATCCTACGTCAAATCAATCAACAATCTCCACTAGCCAAAATCCTAGCATCACGCTTCATAGATGTACTGTGTTTGTGGCACATGGATACATCACCCAAGTGCAGTTATTCACTTGACGTTACTCAGTATTCTTTGGCTGCGAAACCAAATCTTTGAGTGAACAGAAAGGCTCTTAGGTAGACCTTTCAGAGTCCTAGTCGAACGAACAGGTAATGGCAAGTACCTGCTACAACTGGGCTCCGACAGGCACCTTTCACTGGCCAGCATGAACTTCAAACATTCGGAACGACGCTGTTTGATGTAGTGTCCACCGAGTTCAACACTGATGAACTACATTTCTACGTTATTGCTGCACAGTGTCAGTGGTAGAATGACTCCTTCTGGGGCACGTATTTGGACAGGGGCCACTCATTGTTTCTGGAACATGTATGCCTGCGCCTAAATAGATGTAGAAAAACTACAGCATCAGGATCATTCAGAGTGTAGCTCGACAATGAGGACATCAAGGCTGCCCTCATCGTGAAACTGGCTAAACAGTTATTGGAACAGAAGTACATCAGTAATGCAGAAGAAGCCTCGGACCATCCCCAGTCTGATGCAGAAACAGCGTTGAAAATCTTTGCCGTCTTTCACAGAGGGCCAGTGAATCTCTAAAGCTTCTTTCTAAATAATTGATGCACGCGAGCGCATCCATGCAAGCTCTAGGCACAACAAGGAACGGAACCAACTCAAGTGTAGGCTGTCAAAAAGTTAAGCTGATGGACGCGAATAGTGGTAGGTAGCGAAGGCTGAGGAGATGAAAAATACCGTGGTGTTAGGTACGGACAGTCACTTATTTATTCTCACTCAGGAAACTGGGGCGAAACGATCATTGATTAGGCGATAGTGTTGCGACTACTTGACTGATTTGCGGAAGACCTCAAGGAGCAGATCAACTGACCTAGATCTTCTATTGCATTGCCCACTATCTAGTCGGGTGGTAAAAAAACATTTTAGTTGGCCACCAACACCCACATAAGTCGAGAAAGATGCAAATAATCCAGAAAGCAAATGAGCAGTAAGTCGGGATACACCAGCACCGGAGGTATTCAGAGGCTGCGTCAGAAGATTATTGGTCAGATTATCTGAAGTGTTAACTAGTATGTGGGGTAGGCTGCATAATTATGAGACGTCTGAGTGTAGCTGTGCGGAGGGGGGCACGACGAAGATGAGAAAAGCAGCCAAGTCTCAAACCTGTGTCTAGCAGACATCCACCCTCTGCCATGTTCTGGGACACAGCCATACCCATTGGCATGTCCTACACTGGCTGTAATTCTCAACCTGAAGACAAGATCTCGACTCAGTGAATCGAGAGGTTTTATAGCAATCCCCTGTCTGCCAATGAAAGGGGTTCCGGGTAACCCCATCATTCCGCTGAAGTTTCTGAAGCGGAACAGTATTGGTGGGTGTTAGAGCCTATAGTGAGTTACCAGATGAGTTGTGCACGTCGAATGATCTTGTGGACATGTTTAGTGTAAATTTGAGAATGTTTGATATGCGTTTCGCATCATGGAAATACAAAGTGTTATTCGAAGATTGGTGTATGACAGTGGGTTGTAGAGAGTTGATTTGAAGTGGTTGAGCGTTCTGGTCGCTCCACTTATCTGGGATGTTGGGTCAGCTCTTCTGGGTCAGTTGTTGAGGAGATTTGTGTACGTGTAGAAAAGACTGGATTGGTTTCCACATGGTACGCCATTTATATTTTTGCCTTGATATCCGACTTTCTCTTACAGGTTGAGTGTAGTGGAGTGCATTTGGCTGTGTTCTACGATTTAATTGTGAGATATGTTGGGTGATTAGAGGTAGAGGATGATGTGAGAAGGCTTTATATATCCAACCACCGTTGCGTTTGTAGGTCTGGTGGTGTTTTGTAGTGTCGCTGCTTGAGTAACGGAGACGCCATTTGTGGGTGACAACGGCAACCGAGTTGTTGTAGTGTCTAGATGACATAGGTGAGAATCGATGTCAATGGCTGATATGTATTCACATATTGTTGTAATCCTAATCATTATACTGAACTGAGTATTTTCTCATTTGCTCTTCTTGTCTATTAGTACTTTCTCTTGCTTTTGATTGATTCTTGTTAACTTTATTATCTTTATCTTCGTGATTTCTGTGATGGTGTGGTGATATGTGTGTGGTAACGTGGTTTGTCTTGCAGTAATGCCTGCTGTCGTGTTCTTGTTGATTAGGATGTCTAATTCATTTGGATATTCGTAGCGTTAGTTTCCGTTATTCACATTAGGTGATATCTTCCATGTTGACTTTTTGGTCTTCTCTTAACTTGTTACTTTGACCGGGATACATAGTAGTGACTTTATCTGTTATTTTTTTTCTATTATGACAATAAATTAAGTTGGAGATCCGTATAAATAGCCTCTATCGTATTTGGGAGTTGAAGTAGCTAGGGTATTAAGAAAATAACCTTTAATTTAAGCCTTTTCGAATGGAACTTACGTTGGATGCACATTTATAGTCAGAAATGAAAAAATAACAGTTAATCAAATCAACTCACGAAAAGTTGAACCAAAAGAAAAACCTCATCTGTTAAAAACGCAAGTCGGAAACGGAAACATCTTTTCGTTTGTATAAGTTCATTCAAAAAGTTTCGAAACTCATTTTTAAACTCATGTTACAAATTAAAGAAGGGAGACTTTGAAATGGTCGAAATATATAAGAAAGTAGAATTTGATATGTCACCAATTCACAGTTCCTTGTTGCGACCAGGGCTTTAAAATTCAATATTTCTAAAACGGTCTTGGTAACAGACTCCTAATAAACATTACTTCTACCGTATAGTTAAATCTAGATGTCTGCTTCAATAGTATAAATGAATATGAATGTTCATTCGCATATACCTCTCATGGTGATTACTAGCCCACCTTTTTTCTTTGTTTGGGGCTTAAGTATTTACTTTCATTCACAGTAGTATCTTTATCACACCTTAATACTGTGAGAAACTTTTTAAACTTTTCCAGCCAACACTCTTAGCATACATAACGTAGCAGAATAGTGTTACCAACAGCGCAACAATACTGTTATCGTGTGATTTCCGTTTTCAACGTGAAACTTCACAACATTTAGTTGTTCGGTATTTAGTCAGTTCAGTATTGCAAACTACTTATTTTTGTACATCCACCTAATGAGTTAAATCCACAATCATGGAGAAATATACCCTTCTACTTGAACATTTTGCTTTCTTCGGTCGTTATCCACAGACAGTCAACGTAGAACCTTGGACACAGGTGCATCGGTTCAATTTTCCACACTTCACAGTAGTATGCAAAGAACAGGTGGATAGAAAAAGACTATTATAGTAGACTGAATGGTGCGAGACAAGAAAATAGTCTGGAGATAACGGTTAGTGCGAATTTTCAAGTTTTAGAAGACGTTAAAGAATGAGTACTTCTACGTCACTTGACCGATTTTCAGTCATATCAACAAAAGTTCTCGACCACTGATTCTTTTCTTCTTTGGAACCCGAACCAGGCAGTTTACATCTCCTCGCACAACTTAGACTAACAGTTACGGACTTCATGAACTGATCTTATTTTGGCCGCTGTGAACCCTCTTCCAACCTAATCCAAATTCCCCTAGCATGACACCGAGTTTGGTGGCGACTGGACACGCTCAGCATATGTCTAAGCAATCTCAATGGACTAAGATTCATAACGTCATCGATGGACTTTCCCACCTTCTTGTCTATCACTTTTCACTTGACTTAAACATTGCTCACACGATTCCACCGTACACAAACGGTGGTACGACGAAACATGTGATGTATAAACTGTTTACCGACTCATGTCTTCCTTCATAAGCCTATGTCTCAGCCGTATGATAGCAGGACAGTACACTCATCTCTTGATAGGCGATAGGATAAAATGCAAGTAGGCAAATGCCAAACTGGTCTTCTGTATCCGAGCAAAAATTCGGTCGCCAATCAACAGGTTTGGGCTGATGCGACTACCCATGTAAGTGCAGTGGTCGACACATTCCACCACTCCACTGTTTATCATTGAACTGGGAGTGATTGTACACTAGTCCTGGGACATAATCTTGCATTTGACAGGTGCAAAGCCCATGCCAAAAATACAGATTTCCACTCAAAGTGTCCAGAAAATACCGAATCTTGTCAGCGTGGGCATTCCTGACAGACATCTTTAACTACGTTTGAACACAAATGATATTGCAACCAGTCTCTAAGTGATTACTGTCAAGCATATCTTACAATTTCCTGAAGTTGGATTGCCACTCTAAATATTGAAATGGTGACCATACTGGTATGAATAAAGTTGCGAATAAAGTAACGTAGTAGGGGAATATAAATCGTACTACGCGAAAACAGTAAAAACCAATAAAGTGAATGCAAAGAAAGAAACAAAAAGTATTACAGTAGTAAATAGTTGCGCCGAATCGAGGAGAAAATTAGCGTTTAATTCATGCAGGGATCTGTACACTTTATCGTCATGCCCTTATCTAAGGTTTTCATTCGAAACTCAAAGCACCTCAGGTGATTAATTTTGTGAGGCTGTCAGCAGAAAAACTCAATTAACTAATCTCTCAATAACTTTTCTATTTGATATTTTTCTAGGTTGAACTGTTCCTAGAAAAAGAAGTCCGTCCGGCAATACAACCATATGAAAACTGTTTGGAGGTCCCAAGTCATATAATAATATGATTTGCTGACTACTAATCCAAATCTCCCAATCAGTTCGTCCGGTGCTTATCGCGTAGCCATCCAATGCAATAAATTTTTGCTTGTCCTGTTTTATCTAGTTGCACTTTTATACTCAGAAGTAACTTCAAACGTCCTCCAAAAAAATTGACGCGAATTGTATTAAACACTCAAAACGTAGAATTACACGATAAACAGTATTATCCTGCTGACCATCCCTCGATACGACCCTATCACTCAGACATTCAAGAACATATGACATCATGACTAGCGCTGGTGATGTCGCACCTAAATGTGTTTGCACTCTAGTCTGCAAGATGAACTTTTGTTTGGGTACTAGTGCTCAAACACAGTCGTCAAGGCCGAAGTAGATGCAGCGGAATCTGAAGCTACAAGGGTTTGCTTGAGAGGGAAAGTTAATGACAGAGATACATGGTGAACTAACAATTAAAGTTCAAAGGGGATACAAAAAGGAGGACAAATATAGAACGTAGACACACCTGATACCCATTCACATTGCAGTGGCCGCTACTGACTCACGGGTGTGTATCACTAGCCACCAACATTCAACAGCTTCCTAGTTGATTCGCGACACGACTAGTTAAATGGAGGGAATGTGAGCGTTCGGAAGACGTGTGTGTAGACCGAAGACAATGAACAAAGGGAAATAAGTCGAAGTGAACACAGTTTGGCGTCTAAAATAATGGTACTAGTCGGCTGATCGATCGCTCGTCAAACTGTAGACGCGACTGAAGTAAGATGCCCTTCCGTTTGTTCACATCCAGGCTAGTATTTTCTCTCTTTACCTTCCTATCAAACTTTTAAGAGTGCTACTGAGAGTCCGCTTGTTGTATTTCACTCCACAGTCTATGGTGAACGCTGTTGTCCAAGTTTCCAATAACTTCGAGGCGATTGTTAAATGGCCTAAGAGTCAAACCATCGTGCAATGCTTCCAGCTTCCTCACTATCGATTTCGAAGCATGCTTGTTCTCGTTGTCCTTAGGGTCTGGATTAGGCTACATATGGCAGTTAACGGTAAATTCGACAACCTAAGGCTCCCGCACCAGTCCAGACGCGGAGTTAGTTCTACGCAAAAAGATATGAAGTAGCGTTAATGGTAGCGTCTCAGAAGTGTATGATGTACTGAGTCTCCCTTGTTATCAGTGAGCGGCAGCCACACTCCCGAACATAAATTTGAAAAGTCGTCCGATCTTTAACCAGCCTTTTGGAAGTGATGGTAGCATCTGATGCCGTAGCTATCTGTAGCCAGACTGGGTAGTTCTAATCGGACGCAGACATGCTTCCCACAGGCAGCTGTGCGATAGGCAGCTATCACGCTGCATTACTTACCAACCGGCCGAAAATAGCATATGTAGCTTTTGGGGGGTGATGGCCCCTGTGCATGTAGTTGTGTGTTCTGCTGACAATAGCCATCTTCTCAAAACGCAACATGCAGTCCCAGCTGCGTCGGTATGCATGTGGACAACGTGTGACGAAATGTCAGTGAACCGGCAGGGGTGACTCCTTTGAATTTCATTTCCGATCGTATGAATAACTTTGATGGTGAACGGGCAAGACAGAACAGGGTGGTAGGGCCAGACAATAAGCCGAGTGACTCACCTGGCCCCACCAGTTCATCACTAAAACCATCTCCCACCCCAAACGCTGAAACGCAAATAATGATGACTCGTGCGGTATGATGTCAGATCATACTCAAACATGGCCTCCTGGCATACCTCTGATCTTCCTCACCGACCTTGGAACTTTCATGTACTTCTACTAATCATACCTATCTACCATCCTTAATAATGCCAGGTCTGTTATAGGCAAACTGCCAATGCTAAGAACCCTGTAGCCCCTGCTCAAACCACCCGTTATAATAATCATGGTATCACCCTCGCATACCAGATGGTGAGATTGTCGACATGTAAACATATTTTAGATGTGACCGGAGCAATAGGAGGAGAGGTGGGCGCTCAATGTACCTTCCGAATACGCCGAATGTATTCAGGCTGAGTGCTGAGTGGAAACAGAGACTCCCCATCGGTGGCAGTGCACTTCAGAGATGTAACGGCACTGCTTGGTTGCATGTACAGAGCACCTTTGGTGTTCTCTGAAGACGAGTCCTTACTCATGGGTGCTCTTGAACATGTATACTCCCTTCAATATGATCACAAGATTATATGCGGAGACTTCAATCTACCGGGGATTGAATGCGACACGTGTACCTGACGCGCTAGACATGCTAGTTTCCTTAGTGTGTTAGGTATATTCGGATGGAAACAATGTATCACTAGTCCGACAAGGGATGAGAACATGCTTGACCTGGTTATTTGTCAAGATATTCGTCCCCTTTCAACATGTGTTAGTTCCGAGTTCCCTGGGAGCGACCACAAAGTGGTACTGTGTGCAGTACCGCCCCCTTCGTCAACCGGCACTACACATACTGCCTCCACCCTCTCACAATCCAAGTATGGAAGTTATGATAAGACAGACTGGGATCAAGCTTGTTCGTTGGCTAGAAGGAATGGGTTGGGGAAATACTTCGGCGCGGTTGATTTACAACTGACATAAGTATACTATACTCTAGTTTCTACACCTGCATTGATGTTGTAGCCCCTCTGGAAAAATCTAATAATCTCACTTCAAAAAAGCCTTTTATCCCCCAGAATATTCGTCGAAAAGTGCATAAATTTTCGACAAGTTACTTCAGGACCCATGACTTTGGAGCACTCAGATCTCTTCTAAGTGTCCCTAGTTCCATTCGTAATTATCAGCAGACGGTAGCAAAAATGAAACTACTGCACTAGCTATCCCAAAATATATGCTCTTGTGGAACGTCTAAAGAAGCGATACAACCAGCCAAAGCATAACAGTTCTTTCCTCACTCACGATGGTAAGGTCTATAAAAGGCCTGAGGAAAAAGGTGAATTATTCAATAACATGTTCACTGCTAGCTACTTACCTTCAGAAATCTCCACTAATAATGTTAAAACTAGCTACCAGCTATCTCCCCCTACACCGGAACCTATTGGGACCACTGAGTTCACATGTGCTAACATTAACAGAGCCAGTAAAATGCTTAAGTTCTCTAGGAGCACAGGTATTGACGAGATAGCTTCACACCTTTTTAAAAATAGGGGTCCTGACATTTCCTTATTACCACCTAAACTACGCTCCATACCCGTGGAGACTTCTACATACCCCGATATATTGGAGATGTCCTTCACAAGGCTCGGACACATATCTAGTCCAGAAACTGAGGTTAATAACTACAGATCCATAAATATTGCGCCATTTGTGTCTAGAACTATGGATAAAGTAGGCAAAGAAGATGTTCTTCAACACATGCTCAACAATGATGTCCTCACGTCTGGTCAGTATGGATTCTTGAAGTTACGATCATGTATGACCTGCCACTTCGATTTCTTCAACTTCTTAGCCACTAGCCGTGATCTACGTTAGTTCACGTCCTTCATTTTGATACTTTCAAGGCATTCGACCGCGTGGACCATTCACCACCTATCCACAAGCCCTTAAACTTGTTGCCCCTTTATCAGGCTGGATTAAATCTTTTCTTCGCAACCGTTTACAAGTTGTAAAAATTGAGTCTCAGCTTTCTAATCCTAGGCCCATTACTTCCGGGGTAGATCAGGGCAGCGACCTCGGTTCCCTTATTCTCACCTTTAATGTTATTGACATCTGCAAATGCTTTTCGGTTGGTAAACCGTTCTGTTTGCTGATGATCTGAAGTTTGTGTTCACATTCTCATGTGACCACCTGCCTTACTTCCAAGAGCTGGCGCAGAGCGAGCTTAACCTCATAACCGCTTGGTCCATTACAAGGGACCTCATGTTCAACATAGATAAGTGTGGTTGGATGTGCTTTGTAACAACTTCCATTAGCCTACAGTTGTCCATGTAAACTGCTGTGTTACCTAGTCTCCATAGCTTCGTTATCCTAACTGCCCTACATTCTGTGAACATGTTGCGACACAAACTCGTAAGTCAAGAATACTATTACACGCTAATGATTGATGAGTAAACTATTTGATACTAAATACCAGTCTGATGACTTGGTCAGAAATGGGCAGCCGGTGGAAAATACTTTTGAGGCTATGAACGAGTTTTCTGTGGAGCTTAGGAATAACGCTGTCCTAGGCCGGATATGTTGTGGACTTCAGTTCGCCGATCAACTGGAGGGCTACTACCATTCGGTTTCCTATAGATTTACAAGGCAGATGGGCTGACGTAGCAGACGGGATTTTGGTCGCTGAGAGGGAGCCCTAATTCGAAGTCTTGCTTTGTTCCTTTGAGGATAGGGCTAGAGTAGCTCGGTCGAGGTACGGCCTGTTGATGAGATGCAACTTGGCAAGCGACCGCGTGAAGAGCTCTGGCACGCAACCGAGCAGTAGGTCCCACTGCAATTTGGTGGAAGATACTATTCGTTCGACAAGTGATAGGGCCACAGGTACTACGAGTTGTATCTCATGTCTTGACTCCCGCAGTCAACCTGGATGTCCGAAGCTATTGAAAATGTCAAGCGACGAAAGATCAGTAGTCCAATAACGGCGTCTGCCACAATTGTTTAAAGAAGGGTCGCCTAGTGCATGGTGCAGACAAAGAGGTAATTGATGAGAGTTTCGGTGCAAATTATTTAACTTCTACCGATGACATCTCTAACATCATTTCCTTATTCGACCGGTCACGGCATGTTTTTCACACAGTCTTCGCGCCTGAGATGGGAGATGACAATCCATATCCGTGTCATGAATTTCAGCAAATTTTAATGAGATTGCTCACACTAATGACTTGATAAGTGAACTATTTGATACTAAATACCAGTTCGTAAACTTTCAAAAATCATGAATTTGACGGTGCTTGTAAGCTGGTGTCCCTCATGTCAAACCCGTTAAATGAAGACAATATCAATTATTACCCAAACTTTAATACTCTGTATACTCTGTAAAATAATATTTCCTTGTTCGTTTCATAACTGGCGGC